AATCTAATGGTTCCCAGGTTGTTTGTCTCTTTTCTGATGATCGGATTTTTTTCTTTTAGTACAGATTCTCTTTTTGACTGCAGTGGCTAGCATGGAACCTTGAAAGAAAAGGAACCTTGGTTGCCGGTTCACACGTCTCCGAGCAGGTGCCCTACACGGTTACAGTGTAAGTTCCGTGATGGCGGGGACTTGCCTGTACTGTCCCCCACAGCAGCTCTGGTGTCTAGTCTAATGTCTGCCACATAGTAAGTGCTCAAAATTTGTCAAATGCATTAAAGACTGAATGTCTCAGTAAAAGCTCAAGAAAACAAAAGTCTTCTGAGTCCACAAAGTAACTTGTGTTCTCTATGCCAGTGGCATATATCACTCAAGGAGCCCATCAGGGAGGGACTAAAAATGCCTGCTATAACACCATGGATGCAGTAGCCAGTTAATCCATGTTTGCTGCACCCAATCCACGGTAAGACATAGGAAGGCGTGGGATGGGATAACTTTGGTGAGATGCTATTTTCTATGTTATCTTCAAGGATGTTGTAAATATAGTCATCACAAAATCGATCGTGGTTTTAGTTGTATGAATCACATAAAAGTCTGTGGGAGTCAGCTGAGTAGACAGCTAAAGAACATAACACTCTTCTCAACATTTACCTCTAATAGACAGAGTTTAGATTCATGAAAATAAAGAAAATCCAGAATTCTCTTTTTAAAACTCATTCTTACATCAAAGCAATATGAAGCCTTTGGTGTTCCTGCAGGCACTGGGACAAAATTCAGAAAATATTGACAATCTTCCCATGAATACAGGCAACAGCTGGAATGTCTTTTAGACTAGAGATTTCTTTTCTGCAAATCAAATATAGACTTCATTGTGTTCTCAGTATATTCTGTTTTGCATTAATGTAAGCTAAATTTTAAAGGGATGCTGTGTCTTTAATTAAAGGCATGATGGAAATATATTCCAAAAAACTAAAGTTCACCACAGAGATAAAAAGAACAGACTGTGTTTAGTTTGGAGAATGTGGCTCCAGTGAATTTAAATATTTATCATATAATTTTTATATCAAAGTCTTAATGAGCGCTAACTTCTGGTAGTATAAAAAATACTACATTTTAGAATGCTATTCCTAGTTGGATTTCCACCATGGGGCACCAGTTAAATAAAAGTGGATTTCATGAAAAATAATGGTGCATTCCTATTTGAACTTAAAATTTCAAACACTTGTCATTGAGGAGCAAACAGTACAGCCTGGAGTCAGAGATTTTAGACTTTTCCCAAGTTTTTTTTTTTTTTTAATCAAGTTGCCACGGAGACTCAAAGTCCCCAAGGCAGGTGTCCTTTTCTAATCCAAAGAATAAGAAATGTTTGAGAAAATCTCTTTTCATAATTCCTCTGAGAACACGCGAAGAAAAATTGCTAAGCTTCCACTTCAAATGTGAGGAATTTGGATTGAGTTTAAACAACAGCTTGTGCAAAATGTCATAGCTCCCATTCTCTTACGCAGAGATGGTGGGTACTGATGTCATAGAAAGGAGGGTTTAGGACATTCTAAACACAGGGCTGTGATGACAGCTGACCAATTGCAAAGTTATCCTGCTGGTTGGAAAGGAAAATCAGGCACTATCCTTTGCACACTTAAAGGGACAAAGGAAATGAGACAATTACCTTACATAAGTCACACTAAATAATAATATTAATACCTCCTACATTGGTCTTAACGATCCAGCAAATCAAATAAGGTTCTGTGTTCTGATTACTTGGGAAGTATATCCATTTCCCACTGCATTGTGAATGTTTCTTATCCTAGAGACCTCTGGCAGATAAACTTTCCAGGATTTACCTTGAATAACTGGAATTAACATTACAATTCATTAACCCACACGTGTGTACGCGTTACATCCAGCTGGAAAGTCACATTCATTCTTCAGTGCTTGCTTCAAATGTTGTGAGCACACAGTGTACCTTCTAGAGTATTTCTTCGGTTATGGTCTCATGTAACACCCAGCATTCTTCACCTAAATACTATTTGCTTATCTTCTTTGAGTAGATAAAGGTCCCTTTGTAAACAACTACGGTCTTACTTGTACGGCCCATGGTTTTGATTGTGTAACTTGCATTAATGCTATGAGGTTTCCTCTTAATCCTTGCCTCTGCAGGTAAGGGTTTCTCAGTCCAGGTAAAACAAGTCTGCTTATGGATCTCATGGAAGAAAATAAAGGAAAGGTACAGTTTGGTAGCTGTATGGCCATATCATTTTTTCCACACAAAACTTAGAGAATACTGTGAAATCCATATATTCAGAGAATAAAATCAGATGTGGTAGAACTGAGTCTGGAAATGGGATTATGAATTTTGTCCAGTGTAGTTCTATGGCATTTCGGCATCACTAGCTTACATGTCAATTAACTCAGAGGTGGATAGAATTCAAGAGAGCCCTGGGATCTTGGATGGGAAAAATATTACTTCTTTAGTTTAACTAACCTCAAACTGAAATTTAGTATTTCCTTCAATTAAAATGCAGGCCACAAACCACAGTACCTGTGATATTGTTGCCAAGAGAAATCACAGATATTTTCACATCACGTCATCACATTCAAGTTATTGTAAATATCTTGAAATATATTTTGCACTCACCACTACTTCAAATTATGATAGTTACTATACCTGCTGCTAGTTTGTATTATTTAATAATGTATGATTAACAAAACACATATCACAGTTTTTAAAAATTTGGTTAATGTAGTTCAATAGAAGTGGTTTCCTTTGTAACCCTGCATACTTTATTTTATGCATTTAAAAACATCATTCTGAGAAAAGTCTATAGGCTTCACCAGGCTTCCAAAGAGGTCCATGGCACCTAAAAGGTTAAGAATCCCTGAAACTACACACAAAGCACTTAATGCAATAGCCAGGTTTCTAGAGTAAATCATTCCTTGCCAGAATCTTTTGAAGCGGAGACAAACTTGACCTTGAAATCAACACAGTCTCATTGCTGTGAATAGATGATGCTAATGAGAATCATTTTTTTCTTATTTTGCCATATGAAAAGACCTGTAGATTCTAGAGCATCTCTGCTTTTATAGCATAGGTTGATTTCTTCTAATGATAAACTTTACCATTGACATTTTGCCATCAACACTGAATTGTTCTCTTATATATCATACTGCTGAAATCCAGTCTATTTTATAAGAGCATTCAATAAAATCATTTTATGACTTTAATTTAAAACATCATAGAGAGAAAGCCAAGAAAATCTTTGCTACCTGAAAAAACTATAATGATAATTTCAAATTTTGAGTAAAAGAAGTAAACATCAAAATGTACTCCATCAAAGATAGTGCTTTTAAATGTTAGCACTACTGGTCCTATCTGTGTTCAACTGAAATGTCACATATCATTTAACATATTTCTAAGGGTGTTCAGACTATGGCCTCTGGGTTATTATAATTATGAGATCAATTAAATGATGACATGCTATCCAGTAGATGTGCTTTGGATGTAAGCATGTTAGACTTTTGGAAAATCCTCCACGGAGGCTCTGACCAAAAACAGACATATCAAATGCCAGCAAGTTAAACGAATATTCACTCATTGAAAGCTATTAAGAAAATTATTGATATATCCACAATTATTCATGTATCACTGCAGCTAAATACTGTTCATAATTTTCACCTCCAAGAGTAAAATAAATGCTATTGGAATTCTGAAACTAACAGAAAACAAAAAATTATAAATAATATATTCTTGCATTAAATTGAGATGTAATTCATATACTATAAATATACAATCTTCACATATATAGTTAAACCAGTTGTTTCTACTTCTTAAAATACCAGCGATATTATATGCAGTGCTCCAAAATGTGTCTTTTTTTTCCTGTGAAATTCCTAAGGTGTAGAAACGTGGTTATAAATCTAGACTTTGACTAACTTCTGGACCAGAGGTTTTCTTTGAATTACAAGCCAGAAAACAATCCAACTTGCATATCATGAAACAAAGTCCAAAATGACTAAACTTGGGAAAGAAATGATCTATAACAATACAAATAAAATGATTTGTAATATATAGTGTCATTGGAATAGAGATTAAAATCCTTCTTAATCACAGTTTTCAAATTATTCATTGAAGATCTGGAGCAAATTTTTGGTGCCTATATCTGTGTTTGCATTAAGGTAAACCTTATGTCAATGATACATTTAGTTTTAGGGCTATTGTTTTCTTCTCTAGGTAATTATTTCAATTTTTAAAAATAAAAACAGCTTGCATGACTCCTTAGTAAACAGCATCCAGTGCCATTCTTTTCACAGCAGAATTTTCAGGGGAGGACACTGAAAATGTGCACTTTGCTCTAACAACCAAAAAGCAACTGTATACACACATGTAAAAGCTCCCATCCCAACTTCTTTGGCATATTTCAGATTATTTTTCTCTAAACAGGAAGCTGTTGACAGTTTTTCTTGGTTTTCTCATAATACCAAAGGTCTTAGTTACAAGAAAAATCTCAACTTTTGTTTCAAAGTATGTTATTTCCCGCTGTTCCTATTGTTGCTAATTATGAACACTGCAAACACGATAGAAACCAAATTCTAAACTATTTTAGGCTGATTCAGAATAGGGTATCAATTATAAAAAAGAAAAGTTAGCAACATATTGCAAGGCTATGCTGGAGTTTTTAAACCCCAAACAATACTGAAGGGAGGATTCCTGGAATTCAAGAGAGACTATTTGGCTCCAGCTGCAAAATCCCTATCTCTAAATAATGTTATGTTAGCAAGTGTTGAGCAAGAAAAGAGATTATATTTTAACCTACTTCACAGAACATTAATCCGAATTTAACCAAATTCCAGAGACTCTGCAAGAAACTCACGACTAGAAGCTGCTTCACAATTTTCCCCTGGTACAACAATAATTGCTCACGGAAAACTTGTAGGAGGTAAGAGAAAGGGGAGAATCACAATGAGCTACAAAAACCTCTAATGTTGATATAAAGCAAACTAATTACCTCACACAGAAGAAGTGCAAGATTTAGCAGTCCATGCTCTCCAGCCCTGAGAAACAGCAGCGGCGGCAACGTCCAGCATCCACCAGATTCTCACAAGCCTCTGACTGTGTGGACTCAGCCACAGACTCTGCCTCTAGCTGACGTCAAAGTCCCTGTCACATGGCCAGATGAAAGCCAAGAGATCATTGGTTGTCGTAGCAACCACAGACCGGCTCTGAAATTATTTCAATAGGTCATCTGTCACTGTGGGGTGTGTGTGTGTGTGAGAGACAGAGAGCAAGAGAGAGAGAGCGTGTGTGTGTATACACACTCCGCACAAGCATCACGGACAGCTCCCGAGAAGCTGTGACTCAGGCATGCCTACAACTTTCCTCTTTAAGGCTTCCGTGTCTTTTCTTTACGGTTACTTGCAGGAAATGCATGCCACTCTGAAGTTCCCACTGGTCTCCCTTATCCCCAGCATGAAACATGTGTGTCTCTCTCTGTAGAACAAAAGGAAAGAAACTGAAAAACTCTGGAGGTAGTTTTCTTTGCTAATTAAATTTGTTTGTAAGCAAATGAATTAAAACAGAAGCTCAAGGGGAGTTGGAAGGAAAAATACTTTAAAAACTATATAAGAATCCACATCAATGCACTGATACCATGCTAATGATGGAGAGAAAATTAACTCACACAGGTGGTGGTGGCTCAAAGACAGATGAGAGGGTCTAATGATACCGACACCAAGTAGGATGCAGAAATCAGGTAAGATGAATTCAGGATTCCTGCATTGTGAAATGTCTACCCCCAAAACAATGACCAATACAGTTTCACAATGGCACTACTTTAAAATAACCGTATGAGTAGGCTGAAAACTTTGCTTTGGGGCCGTACAGGTGCCAAATCCTTCCCTCCTAAATCCTCTCATCCAGACCCCTTTGCTGGGATCCACATCCAGCAAACAGGACCAGTGTCCCACAAATGCAAAGCCCAACGGAAGCTTAGAGATTCAGAATAAAAGGGTAAGTCACTTTATGAAAAAGACACCTGCGCCCGAATGTTTATAGCAGCACAGTTCACTATTGCAAAGCTGTGGAAACAACCCAAGTGCCCATCAATTCGTAAGGATTAATAAAATGTGGTATATGTGTACCATGGAGTACTACTCAGCTTTAAGAAACAATGGTGATATAGCACCTCTTGTATATTCCTGGATAGAGCTGGAACCCATTCTACTAAGTGAAGTATCTCAAGAATGGAAAAAACAGCACCACATGTACTCACCAGCAAATTGGTATTAACGGATCAACACCTAAGTGGACACATAGGAGTAACATTTATCGGGTGTCAGGAGGGTGGGAGGGGGGAAGAGGGGATGGGTATATACAACCACAACGAGTAAGACGTGCAACGTTTGGGGGATGGACACGCTTGAAGCTCTTACTCCAGGGGGGAGGAGGGGCATGGGCAATATATATAACCTTAACACTTATACCCCCATAATAAAAAAAAGGGTAGTCCCGTGTGTTTTTAAACTTCAGCTTCATTTCCTTCATTTCCTAGCTTACTGTTAACTCTGCACACATGCTTATTTCCTAGTTAATTCTCCTTCTTAATTAACAGGAAGCCAATTAAACAAAATGAGATGAAACCCACAGGACTCTGAAAAAGACATTCAGAAAATGTATGCGCATTCAAAGGACAAAGGAGTTAAAAGGCAGGAGAGAAGAGACTGCCCTCAAAACCATAAGGACCTTTACAGCCAGGGTTATCAGGACTTTTATTCTAGTTTCTTAAAAAAAAATAAAGAGTAGCTATGGGGTGCTAAAATGTAAATGGACACTAAGCCAGCTGGGCAGATTACATTTGTGTCACTGCAAAAAAATGAAATTTCTTCAGTAGAGTCAGAAATTGTTTCCTTAATAAAAGACTAAAGTCCAAACTGCTTGGCCATAAAATCTTCGTATTCCATCTTCCTCTTCATCTTCCTTTACTTCTATCCCAGCCACAATTGGAAGAAGATAGATTTTTATTTGAAAAGTTATTTTCCTGACGCTATTAGCTGTAGCACTGCAAAAGTAAAATCAAACTATAAAGAACTTTCCCCCTTTAATTTCAGATTAATGACAGTTTGGAATTTAGCTGTTTGGATGAGGACAATTGAATCCAATGTCTGTTTAAATGAGTCAGGATGTCTCACAAAGGGCTGATTTCAGCAACAGCCACAATTCACAAATTTGTAATTTGTTCCAATTATAGTTCTGGTTTTCTGTTCAGAAATGCACCCTAGTAATGAGGGGATGGGCAGAGCAGAGAAACATACCCTTCTAGATTTCGAGGGCCCCAAGTTCTCTGAGCTGCCTGCCTTATCCTCTCTGGCTCCAAATCCAATACTGTGTGATCAACTCTTCCTCCTCTTTACGTAGCATTTAAGACAGTAAAACTGCAGTGCCACACTCTGCCAATAGGTGATGTCTTCTGAAACAAATAGTTCTCAGTTCTAAAAATCCCAAAATCAGGGCTTTAAATTGATTAATTTGAAAATTAGCAAAAGCTAACACAATTTCATTTTGAATGGTCTAGCATTTTTAAGACTAAGTATACTTCATTACATACAGACTTGGGTTTAAACTCATTATAAGGTAAAATAATCAGTGGACTGACCTTCAAAATGAAAAGTGGGTGCATGTAGCCCTTTTCTCTATAACATGCTTCCAACCTGGCATTACTCATTTCTCTTGGCAACCTAGCTAGGCTTAGAGATTCCCCTTGAAGGTTAGGAAGCTATCAGTCTCTTGCAGAGTTTAAAGCATGACGCTGATCTCTTTGGAGCTCAGGTTTCTAGAACTTTGGCTAATTAATCTAAATGCAGTTGAAAGCATCACAGGAAGCATGTGTGAGGGCTTTCTCCAATCACAGCCCACCACATTCAAGATAATACGTGTCATTTTATTTTTTCTAATTGACAAGTTATTTTTTAAGGTGAAAATGATTCACCAAATTTAAAAATATCCATTCAAAAATAGTTCTGCACCATATTTTTTACTGGCTTTAAGAATGTCAAGACTGCTTGTTATTAGTTTGACCACTTTGGCAGAAAAAAATGGTAAATACCCCTAAACAACCAGTCTGATTTGGGTTCACACACCTGAACACGCAGGTGGTTTGGGCATGAGTAGACAATTCTAATCAGCCTTTTTTCCAATGTTTCTAGGTAGAGGTGTTGCTGTCCCTTCTGTCTTAACATTAGTGGGCAGGCCATGGAATAATTATTTGGAGTTACTGGGTTGAAATCTCATGTCTTTTACAGTAGGACCTCGAGCAAATTACAGAAGTCCTCTGAGCCACAGTGCTGACACCCTAAGGTTGCTGGGAGGATTATAAAGCTAATGTATTATAAAATTTTGACACCCTGCTACAGGGTAGATGGCTCAGTATATGTGTCATTTCTTGTTTATCTGTCTGACTGATAAATCTAAGAAGACCTTCAGGGAAAGGATGAAATCTTATACATCTCTGCAGCACTATTGTTAGCACATAGCCCAGAATATGAGTGCATAATAAATGTTGAATGGCTCAACTATTGGGAAATAAATGTTGAATAGTAGAAAGAAATGGTTCATTTTTCTTCCTACTAATAGGGAAGAGAAAGCCTCTACTCACTTCAAACTCCAAAAAAGATAAAGGAAGAAAAAAAGAAAAAACAAAAATGTTGAGTTATCACAAAATTTTCTAGCAATGGATGGGTCCAAATAAATTTACAAAGTAATAAAACTTATCCCTACTAAATCATAAATATTTATTATGAGTATATGTAAGTTATATGCTGATGTATTTTATGGCTATTGCTGCTGATACTGGAAAATGTTTTACATTACCTGACATTAATTGAGAACTTACTATATGTGGAAAATTGTTCTAAGTGCTATACACATATTAAATCATTTACTATAATAAGCTTATAAGGCAAGTACTATTCTTTTCCACATTTCACAACCAAAGAAACTGAAGCATGGAGAGATTAAGAAACTTGCCTACCTAGTACATGGCAAACCCAGGATTTACACCCAGGAAGCTCAGCTCCATAAGTTTCTGGAAATAATTTACAATGGATGTATTTTGGGAAAGCATTGAATTATTTCTTAGATGTCTTTTACAGTTTAGTTTTTATTTTTAATTTCTTGTGAAGGGGAGAAGGCCAACTTATCTTTCTGCATCTTATAACTCTAAACATCTTAATCTAGCTTTGTCTAAGGACTAATAGGACAAAAAGAAGAAAGAAAGAAAGAGAGAGAGAGAAGAGAAAGAACAGAATAAGTTAATCAGGAAAATGTGAATCAAGGAAAAGGAGCAAAGTAAAATTAGTAAAAATATTGTGAAGAAAACTATGCCCAAATTATTATAGTCTTTTCTAAAGCAATATTTAGATTGCAAAGGCTTGGTAAGTTCTGTTTCCCACTATGATGGAGCAGTGTGTATGCAAACCAATATTCTCACTTAGACAAAAATAATAGCTAGATTTTAAAAAAAAAAAAAAATGGTTGAAGGAAATCAAAGAATAGCAAAGGCAGCAAAAATTTTAAGTTCCAAGATCTCAGATAAAAGGAAAATATATTGAATGTCTTATTCCATTTGTACTGCTATAACAAAATACCATTATCTGCATAGCTTACAAACAAGACAAATTATTTTTCCCAGTTTTGGAGAATGGAAAGTCTAAGATCAAGGGTCCAGCAGATCCGGTATCTGGGTTCCAGCAGATCCAGTATGGGTTCATAGATGGCACCTTCTACCTGTGTCCTCACATAGTGGAAGGAGCAAAGCAGCTCTTTGGGACATCTTTTCATAAGAGCATTAATCCCATTCATAATGGCTCTCCCCCATTACATAATCACCTCCCAAAGGTCCCAACCTCCTAATACCATCACTTTGGGGTTGGGATTTCAACATATGGATTCTGGGGAGACACAGACATTTAGTTCATAGTACTGTGATAATTCCACCTTCTCTATATTACCCACTGCCTTTCTCCTTAAATTACTGGCCGGTTCTTAAGAGGTCTGGAACTTTTACCATTATTAGAGACTGGAGAGACAAAACTTGGAGTACAAATCTTTAAAAGCATCTAGGACTCAGAGGACTGAGATCAAGTTAAAAAAAGAGGAATCACAAAAAACAGATCCCAAAATTCTATAATATTTTTTCCTTGAAGCATCTGCCATGACATAAGATAATAGGACAAGAAGTAAACCATAAAAATGAAGCAAAAAGGCTAAAAACATAAAGGGAGAGTTTAGCAGTCTTACAGTACTGAGGAAACAAAAATTATAGTTCAGGAGCCTTGAAGAATTT